TCAGGGCTCTGAGGTGGTACAGAATTTATTGGCTGAGCAATTTCAGAAGGGGCCGTCTTGTTGGCCACGTTTCTGGCTTTAACCCGCAAGGCGTCATCCTCTACTTTGCAGTATTCTTCAACTTTCTTCATTAACGACCAGACTGGAGGTCTTCTAGTCAAGGAACTGTGGAGAGCACTGTCAGGATGCAAACCCATTTTGAAGGCGGTGATGGCCATGGAGTCGTTGCAGGCGTCATCGACAAGTTTAAAGCACTCCCAATAGCGCGTCGAATACGCTCTTAGTGTTTTTCCTGGCTGGATCTGCATTGTCTAGAGAGAGTCGGCTTGTTTTGGCTGGACCTTGTTGGTGATGAATCTGGCCCTGAAGGATTTCTGTAATTGATAGAAGCTTTTGATTGAAGCCGGCTCCAGTTTATAATACCACCTGACAGCCAATGGTCCCAAACTACTGGGAAATATTCGGCACATGAGGGCCTCGTTGTCTGCATGTAATGTTATGGCTTGCTTGTAGTGACGGATGTGATCGGTGGGGTTTGATTTTCTATCATAGAGAGTGAACGACGGAGCTTTGAACTTTTTGGGCAAAATCGCCCTTGCAATCCGTCGCACAAAGGGATCATGCTGGTCTTCCTCATCTGAACTATTTTTTATGCGCTTATACCTTATACGTGGACTCTCTTCAGAGGAGCTGGAAGTCTCGGGTTGTCCCTTTTTCTTGGCCTCCGGGGATAATGAGTCGGAGTTGCTATCAGTGTCTTGTTATCGGGCTCGAGGTCGTTGACCACCTGCCCTCAGAGGTTGTTCCGAATCTTGGCGTACAACTTATTTGGACTTTGCCATTTCCAAGGCCAAGTCCTGACGGAGACGTTCATTCTCAGCTATTATGTTCTTTAACCTCTGTTCGTTTTGCTTCGCTTATTCCATGATCGCTTGCATTGCCTCATGCTCTGAAGTCGAGGGTGAGGCGAAGTTCAAAGCGCGTCTTGCAGGGATAGTCTCCGGTCCAAGCATGTTTGTTGGCGTGAGGTCGTCTCTCTGCGTGGTTTCATCAGTGACTATCGGAGGGTCTTCCGTTATGCTAGCCATGGATGTGTTTGAGTATTCCCACAGACGACGCAAATTGTGGAGAAGTGGTTTGGAAATACTCTTTAAATCCTAGGGGATGCTCGTGATCCTCAGCTAGCCACTAAAAAAAGAATTAACACTCCGGTCGGGGGTGCCAGAATTAGCACTCCGACGGGCAAGTCAGTCTCTACTCTCTGAATTATTTGTATTTTAAGTTAAGCGTAATGGTTCTCACATACCTTTCTCTGATTGAAGATCCTGCATTTATAGTATTCTTTTGGGCCCTAGGGCCTGGCCCATCCCTGATCCTTTACATGTACTTTTACTCGGCATTTTTTCTACTGCTCCGAATGTCGACTATTTTATTCGGCTCTTCAATCGACTAGGATTAATGTCGAAAAGAAGTTATGTTCTGACCAGACTGGTCCATTCGTCTCTATTGATCCAAGGAAATTCGGCTCCCACAGTTAGGAATCATGCATATTCTTCTAACTTTTTTTGTTATCTTAACTTGAAGTACTAGGTAAGTTTTAATGCTTTAGCATGCTTGCATGAGTGTGAGTGACTGCCATGACTAGCATGCTTGCCATGAGAGTAAGTGCTTACTTGTTAAATTGTTTGAGTGCCTGTGGATGAAGGCTTGTTGCTAGAATTGAAGTAATTCAATGAATGTACGTTTAAAGCCCACTTTGTCAAGTGGCAAATTCACAAACTTTAAGCCCACTTTGTTAAGTGGCAAAATCAAATCATTTTCAAAAAACAAATATGAAATTGAATTGTTCCATTTCGGGCAAACTAGTCTATACCTTGCTTGTGCGCATCACATAGTAATGCTAGCATAATAAACCGGAACAAGAGCATATAATGTACATAAAAATCATATCATGATTAGTAGAAGCCAATCTTTGATCGGACGAGCGGGAGTGTTCAAATGTATTCATGATCTTCCCCCCTCGTACTTAAGTTCTTGAGCCGAGACAATCTTGCTGATTGGTGATGACAGACACATGGCCTTTGGCACAAGTCATGAGTTTCCTAAATTTTTCCAAAATAAAATATTTAGGTGGCGACTTGGTATCTAGCAAAGTAGTTTATTTTTGGCAATTTGATTCAAAATCGGTTTTCCAAAAGATTTGTCGGATTTGGACTCTTTAGTGTTTATCAATTTCACATTGCACTTGTGAGATTAGATTCAGAACCGCAAGAGTCCAAATTATAGGGCTTATTTCGAGCTTCCAAAAGGGGGCGCGAAAAAGTCAAGCTACACTATGCGTCTCATTTCAATGATCCGAACCGTTCAATATGTAGAGCTCATCAAGTACTTTATGCTTGTAAAAAATTACATTGATCGGATATCGATAGCCATTGATTAGAATATTTTTTTCAATAGTAAATATGATTTTAAAAATAAATTGTTAACAAAAATGTGTTCCGATTAAAGGGCTACCAATATCCAATTAACGTGATTTTTTACAAGCATAAAATAATCGACAAGTTTTACACATTAAACGATTTGGTTTATTGAAACGGGACTCATGATGAATTTCACGGATCCAATAATACATTCCAATCCACTATGTAGACTGGAGAGAAACCATCTCCTTTATTTCTTATGAGTTAATTACCTAAAAATCTTATTTACAAATATTATGGTAGTTCAGATTCTATTTTAGATTTTTTGAACTAATAAGTCCTATTTAGTAAAACTGAGAATATTATTCGTTTTTTTTTTTCAATTTTTAAAATTAAGAACATTATCAATTTTACATAATAATGTTTCAGATAATTGTTTCACTAACTGATAAAAAAAACAGAGCATGAGATTAAATATTTTTGCCTTTCTACTTATTTGTTTGATTTAACTATCCAACAAAATTAAAAATATTAACAGTTTTTTTTTCTGCTTTAAAACTGAGAATATTATTAGTTTTTTTTCATTTTTAAAGTGTTTTTTTTTTCTTCTAATTTTGCACATCAATGTTTCATCATCATGCTCCTTTATAGATACAAAATTTTTAATTTTGCACAAAAAAATAATTCAATTTTTTCCAAATTTTCAAAAAAAACACATAATTTTTTTTATAGTTATTTTTTTTTTTCAATTTTTAAGTTGACACTTTAAAATTTTGAAAATCAAAATAAATGTCAAATTATCATATTCCTTTATAGATAATTATAAATGATGAACAATTACTATTTGATAGACAATTTCGACTATTAAAAATTTAATGAGACTTGAAAATTTAAAATTTTTAAACAGTTATGTTATGTAGCTCGAATCTGCCCTTCCTCGAATCCTCCCGAAATCAAAACGACGCCATTTCGTCATTTTGATTTTTTTTTTTGTTTTTGTTTTCCAGAAGAAGAAAATCAAAAAAGAAGAAGAAGAAGAAGAAGAAGAAAACAGAGAGAGACCGATACCAACATCAACCATTCATCTTCATCATCAACAACATCATCAGATCCAGAAAAAAAAAAAAAAATAAAAAATAAAAAAATTCATCGTTTGTCTGAACTTTATTAGTCCCCCAACTAGACCCACCCACCGATCAAACACAAAAATAAAAAAAAAATAAAAAAACGGGCTGAAAAAAAAAATCAGAGGTGAGGCGGAGGCGAAAGCGGAGGCGAGGCTCAGGCAGATCCCCTCTCTTCCTCTCTTTCTCTGTCTCTTTCTCTCCTTCTTCCTTTCTTTCTCTTTCTTCTCTCTGCTCTCTTGTTGCAGACATAAGCAGGAGAAAAAAATAAAAATATCGTTTTGGGCAGTCGGGGGGATTCGAGGAAGACAAATTTGGGGAACAAAACATTTTCCAATATATATATATATATGTATATATGAGTAAAGTTGAAAGTAATAATAATTTAAAGGGGTTGGAATGTGTATTGAAAAAATGGTTAGCTAAATTAATAATGTGAAATTTTGGGTAGTTAATTTGGTGAGGATTGCTGGAGATACTCTTAGTTAAGAGAAAAAAAAAATTTAAAATAAGGAGAGTGAGATGGGAAAAAGAAAAAAGAAAAAACACAAAGAGCTTGTTTGGTTTGCTTTTGAGAGAAATTTTTTTTCTAAAATTTTGTTTGGTTTGTGGCTTTTCTCAAAAAAATTCTAAAATTATTTTCTCTCTTACACATCAATCAATCACTTTTTTCTTTGATTCTCAATCATTTTTTTTCTCACATACATCTATTCAGTTACAACAAAATATGCAATCATCCCAAACTCCCAAATTCCAATACTACTTTCAAAATATACAATAAAACAAATCAAAAAATTTTCTAAACTCTCTCCCCAAATTTTTTTTTGACAATCACTCTCTCAAAAGCAAACCAAACACACCCACTCTCAAAAGCAAACCAAACACACCCAAAGTGTTTACATAAAGCATAGGTATTTATGGATTAAAAAAATTGTTATTTATATTAACACTTGTTAATTTAACTTAATAGTTGATTAACAGATGAACCCATTTATTTATGTTATGTGATTGAAAATCTCAAAAGGTGCGATGCAATTTCTTAAACATGAATAGGGAATCAATATTTTTAATAAATCTCAATGATTTTATTTATAATTTACTATAATACATATCATTATCATATGCATTTAGTCTTACATATTAAGAGTTGATCACTAATTTATTAATATACTGATCAATTTTTCTAACAATATTGTAAAATGGAAGTTCAAAAATAAAAAATAATAAAAAAAACATTTCCAAAGGGAATGACTCCATTTGGTAAGTTTCATCAAATAAATGACCATCATATTTTATTTTTTATTTTTTTATTTTTTTTAAAGAATGCACAAATGTATGATATGCAAAATCAACAGCACCACCAAAGATCCTCAACGGCTCACTACATTATTTATTGATTATTAAATTCACTTTTTGTCAACGGTCAAAAAAAATAACCGTTTAAAATTACAAAATCCTCCAATTTCGGGTTGACAACTAGCCGTTACAATCTCAAATCCAGCGAAAGAACCATCCCACCATATCTTCATTCTTCATCATCAAATCATTCAAAGATCTCAAAACCCTACTCATTTTTCTCTGAAGATTTGCTTTACCATTCTTTCTCACTAACCACCATACTCATCTCTCTCTCTCTCTCTCTCTCTCTATTCATCAATGGCAGTATCTGCAAACAGATCTCGTTCCCCAATTTCAACACGACCAAATCCAAATTCAAGAACCCCAGAAACCAATTCTAACATGGGACGAAGTTTCAGTGCCAACCCATTTGCAAGGCCTTCGATTCTCACGAACCCTAGAGGCCTCCCTCCTGCTACTCCTGCTAACAGCCCTGCAGGTTCGTTCATCAATTTTTTTCATTTTTATCAATCACTCTGTTTGTTATCATTTTCAGAATCTGTTTTTGTGAAACACTAAAACCCTAACTCTGCTTTGCATTTTGATTTTGGGTTCTGTTTCGTTCATTATTTCAAGAATCACTCTGTTTTGAATTGCAGATTTTGCACGAAGACACTCCGTAGGCAAGGAAGGTGGGGTTTCTTCTCGGAGCTGCGAAGAGAAAGAGAACGAGAAAGATCAGAATCTAAAACCAGTGAAAATCAGATCACCGGCTGTTTCGAAGGGTACGAAAAATTTCATGACACCCACGATCTCTGCGGCTTCGAAGATCAATTCGTCTCCGAGAAAGAGAGTTTTAGCGGAGAGGAACGAGCCTGTCAGGACTTCAATCTCATTCTCTTGTGGAAAGAACGCATTTGGTTCTTTGAATCTTTCTGATTTAACAGAGGATCTTGATTCAAAGTCAGAGATGGGTTTGAATCAGAACATGGTTGATGATTCAAATGAGTCAGCAATCACAAATTCGGATCACAACGAGGCGGTTCTTGAGATTTCTTCTATCCCCAAAGCTTCAAAGAAAGACTCTCAGGTACCTCTAAATTCCCAGAAAGTCTCAGAATCATTACCAGATATGAAACCTGTGGAGTCTAAATACACCAGTGCTGGTACTGGTTGTAAGAACAAACTTTCTGATTCATCGATGTCGCCTATTATAGCACCGCTTGATGCTGACCCGTCTCTTCGCCCTTATGATCCTAAAACTAACTATCTTTCGCCTAGGCCTCGATTCCTTCATTACAGACCCAATCCGCGAATCGAAAGGCTAGAAGAGAGCTTTCTGTCTGAAAGCTTTTCGGACACTGAAGTTACTGAAGTAACTACTGAGTCTGAAAGCTTGCAGAAAGAATCTGAGGATGATTCTTCATCCGAGGCTATAAATGAAGAAGTAAAGGTAGAGCCCCTTGTTTCTGAACCAAAGCCAAGCAATGCCCCAATCAGTACCCAGATCTCCAAGGAGACTGTTGAGGCAAAGATCAAACCGCGATTCTTTACAAGATCAAAGTCTGTTGCATTGCTTTTGGTCCTCTTAATTGCTTGTTTATCAGTCTCAGTTACTGATTCACCGGTATTTGATTCGCCTGTTTATAAAGATTTAAGCATGTCCAAGTTCTATGACCCATCTGAAATTGCTGAGTTTGTGAAAGCAAGTTTCGATGGCTTTGCTGGAAATTTCAAGCAGTGGCCAGCCAACTCTGTATGTTACCTCACTCAGCTAATTCGCAATTTATATGAAGTTGATAAATTGGTCCCCTTGCAATTTAGTAACCTGACTTATTCGCTAGAGGATCCCTTTGTTGATGGGTACCTTAAAGTGGACAACATCAAGGAGAGATCGGAAGGAATTCATGAGCACAATGAGTTGGAGGAGGTTGAAATTGAATTACTAGAAGGGAATTTAGAGAAGGGTGATCCAGATGTAGAAGATGATGACAATAGTGAAGAGGCACTAGAAGAAGGGCACGGCATTGAAGCAGCACACTCTGAACCTCATAGTTCAGACACAACTCAGAACCAAGAGCAACGTGATGCTGCTTTGCCAATAACTTCCAATCCACAAAGTAACATTGGTTTTGAGGATCAATCAGCTCTAACAGTTCATGAATTTAGACATGAAGTTGAGGCTCTTGAAGTCAACCCTGAAGTGGTTGAAACTGGGGAAATCCTAGCTGAGATTGACCTCAGTTCCGGTGCCAAAACAGTTCATGAATTTAGACCTGAAGTAGAGGTTCTTCAAGCCAACCCTGAAATGGTTGAAACTGGGGAAATCCAAGCTGATATTGACCTCAGTTCTGGTGCCAAAATTGAGCCCACTATAGTAGAGGCCAATCCTGAAAGCTCCTTGGAAATGTCTTCTTCGTTCCGCGACAGTCAGAGTTCAAAAGTAGCTGATTCTTTGCTTAATTGGTCAAAATACAAGGTTTCAGTGCATAATATGCAACCAATGTCTCTGCTTGCTCTGGCTCTAGTGGCAGCGACAACATTTATCTATTTGAGGTGCAACAGAACAGCCACTACCGCGAATGCTGCTGCAGTTCTTGTTGATCCATTGTCAACGAAGAAGAAGACAATTTCTATGCCAGAAGATTCAACCGGGACTCAAAACATAAGCCATGACAGACCATCTTCGCAAATTTGGCCACCGGATTTTGATGTAGTTGGAGAGTCATGCCCATCAGAAATGAGCAGCTTTCAAAAGAGCTCATCCTACAGCAAGAGAGGACCAAGTGGAACAAATGAAGCTCAGAACCAAGATAGAAAACAAAGGGAGGTTTCTAAAAGGGAGTCACTTGCTTCTTCATCAGAATATTCAATGGAGTCTTATGGAAGTTTCACCACATATGAGAAAATTCCCATCAAGCATGTAAGTAATTTATTCCCGACGCTATATGTTTTTTTTCACAAATTGTTGTATTCCCATAAATCCTTGCATCACTTCTTACAGTTTGATTTTATTTTTTTATTTTTGGTATTTTTGAAGGGATGTGGGGAAGAAGAAATAGTGACTCCGGTTAGGCGGTCCAGCAGGATTAAGAATCATCAAGTCACTTCTGGGTGACGACTGCACACTATTTAGTTTCTGACTATGTGTGTGGATTAGTGATTAATTGTAGTTTAGGCTCCTGGTTCTGAAGGTACCCTCTATTAAATCAACAGCATTCTGTTATGCTTGTATCTGTTTTAGGCTTCTTCCATTTCTTTTAATTTTAGACACATTTGATTGTTTCATTGGAGATAGCCCTTTTCTTTATCCATTGTTTTTATGACATATTTTCATTATTTTTTAGGGTGATGCTATGGTACATTTATGAGGACATGTGATTTTATATTATGCCTGTGTTTGGCAAGTAGGTTTTTTTGACTATTTTAGTCACAAAAAACAAAATAGGCTATTTTAGCCATAACAAACAAAACATCACATCCAACCCATAATCATTACATTCTTCTCTCATAAAAAAACTCAAAAAAGCCAAAAAGTCATTCCCAAACCAAGCTTTTAAGCCCAGGCTAAAATAGCCAAAAAAGCCAAAAAGCCAACTCACTTCCCAAACGGAGGCTATAACTAATATCATAAATTTAGTTATTCATGCATACCATATCATCTCATAACTACCAATAACTAAATTATTTTAATAATTTAATTTTGAAATGGCAACTGGTGTAACCAGTTACCAAAAAGAGGGGCAAAGGAAATCAGAGGAGTCCAGGGATCCCAACATCACATATCTCATAACCAATATCACATATCTCATAATTAACACCATTTTGCTAATAACCACACCACTTTGTTCATAACCAATATCGCATATCTCATAACTATTATTGACATGAATAATAACCACATCTCATAACCAACCCTTTTGAGTCATAACCAACATCACATATCTCATAATCACTAGTCACATGTCTCATAACTAACAACCATGTTGCTCATAACTATACCACATTATTCATAACCAATATTTCATATCTCATAATCACTAACACATGTAGTATAACCAAACACCCTTTGACACCAATTATTCATAACGAAAATCACATATCTTATAATCACTAATCAAATATCTCATAACCATTATTATATCTCATAACCATTACTCACATATCTTATAACCAAACACCCTTTGACTTATAACTACATCAATTTACTTATAACCAAATCACTAATCATATATCTCATAACCTTTACCCACTTATATCATAAGCACATCTTATAACCAACACCATTTGCCTCATAACCTATATCACATATCTCATAACTACTACTCACACATAGGGGTGTAAATTTGGCCCACGAGCTCGCCACCCAATGTCCAGAATTTGCTCTCTCTCTCTCTCTCTCTTGTTTAGTAAGAAAGGGTCTAGGGATTTATCAAAAACAATTAACGAAGGAATTTTGATTTTGACAAAATTTGGATGTTTGTTCCAAATTTTTGGAAAAAATGGGGCCGAAATTATGTAATAATCATTATAAAAAACAAAATTAAAACATTTATAAATAGAGTCTTATAATAAAATAAAGGGGAAAACACCATTAAAATCCCTAATTTGGGAATGCTAACCCACTTAGTCCCGACGTTTTTTTGTTGGACTAATAGGTCCTATTTTTTGTGTAAAGACATTAGTACCCTTTTTTTGACGCGTATGGGCAAGAGGTAATTTTGGGAAAAATGTTTATGTGCAATTTATCGTACTGCCCAAGCGTATGAACCGTAGTGTTGTTTGTGGTAGAATCGTAAACGGTGTGGAGGGAAGAGATTAGATTTTGGGAAGTTGATGTTTCAGTGATTCTTGCTGCATATTTTGGAGATATTGAGATTGTATTTGGTAATGTTGACGTTCATTCCGGAAATACCATTCATGTACATTGTGTAAACCCTAGCTGTGGACAAATTCTAGACGAAAAGAATTGACGTTGCGAATCCGTTGGGTTGATAAAGAACACTGCAACATTTGGAGGCTCCCCCGGGAAAACCATGACACCAGGTATGGATTGTTAGGGTTCCTGCTCTGCGTGAAGGGGTTTTTATACCGTCTGTTTGTAGTTTGTGCAATACATTGTGATGATGTTGTTTTTGGTGATCATTGTCAGTGTTTGTTTATGGCAGTTGGGGTATGGGGTTTGTATATGTTTTATTTGCATTGACAGTTGAATTTTATTTGTGTGTTTGCCTTATGGTAATGTAGGTATGAGTATTGTTTTGTCTAAAACAAACATTGGTGTCTGTTGTGTAGTCTTCTGATGATTATTTTTGTTTGTGTTTGTTGTGTGTTTGTGGTTGGCCTATTGTTTGGTTGGTTGGTAATGTTGATGTTTGTTGTGTAGTCTTCTGATGATTATTTTTGTTTGTGTTTGTTGTGTGTTTGTGGTTGGCCTATTGTTTGGTTGGTTGGTAATGTTGATGTTTGTTGTGTAGTCTTCTGATGATTATTTTTGTTTGTGTTTGTTGTGTGTTTGTGGTTGGCCTATTGTTTGGTTGGTTGGTAATGTTGATGTTTGTTGTGTAGTCTTCTGATGATTATTTTTGTTTGTGTTTGTTGTGTGTTTGTGGGGGGGCTATTGTTTGGTTGGTTGGTAATGTTGATGTTTGTTGTGTAGTCTTCTGATGATTATTTTTGTTTGTGTTTGTTGTGTGTTTGTGGTTGGCCTATTGTTTGGTTGGTTGGTAATGTTGATGTTTGTTGTGTAGTCTTCTGATGATTATTTTTGTTTGTGTTTGTTGTGTGTTTGTGGTTGGCCTATTGTTTGGTTGGTTGGTAATGTTGATGTTTGTTGTGTAGTCTTCTGATGATTATTTTTGTTTGTGTTTGTTGTGTGTTTGTGGTTGGCCTATTGTTTGGTTGGTTGGTAATGTTGATGTTTGTTGTGTAGTCTTCTGATGATTATTTTTGTTTGTGTTTGTTGTGTGTTTGTGGTTGGCCTATTGTTTGGTTGGTTGGTAATGTTGATGTTTGTTGTGTAGTCTTCTGATGATTATTTTTGTTTGTGTTTGTTGTGTGTTTGTGGTTGGCCTATTGTTTGGTTGGTTGGTAATGTTGATGTTTGTTGTGTAGTCTTCTGATGATTATTTTTGTTTGTGTTTGTTGTGTGTTTGTGGTTGGCCTATTGTTTGGTTGGTTGGTAATGTTGATGTTTGTTGTGTAGTCTTCTGATGATTATTTTTGTTTGTGTTTGTTGTGTGTTTGTGGGGGGGACCCCTGTTTTGGGGCATTTAAAAATTTGTTGATGTTTTTTTTTTTCTATTTTTTCTTTTTGTGTACAGACCGTATTACGAGCTATATGGAGTGTGTTCCCTGTCTTGGGGATGGGTTTGATTTTACTAAATCTTGGTCGTTCATGTTTTTTCTTTTTGTTGGGCGCATGAACATAAGCGGAATATCGGTTTCTGGTTGATACTGCATACGGGGGTTAATTCTTATTCGTAATTGTGGCACGTTGATACTGCAGTTATATTCGGGTGTGTGTTGGGTAAATTTTTTGTAATCTAGTTATGTTTTTCCTGTTTCAGGTAGTGGAAAAGGCAATGGTCGAAGTCAACGGTCACATTCTGAAATGCAGACGTCGACACGGTTACCAAACAAAAGACAATCACACTTGGTCTTTAAGAAATGTAAAGCTACGTCAAATACTTTTAAAAGAAATATCGTGGACCAGCTAAGTTAATGTATCGGTCAAACATAGCTGGTGTTATAAAAACCATTTCGGAGCTTGAATTTGGTGAAGGGCACGTGAAATAACTATAGAAAACATAATTTTGGCTAATGATCGACGCAATTCGGGTTCACAAATTGGAACCAATTGCGTACAGGAAGTGTAATGCGACCGTGTGTCGTATAATTCAGACATATGGCTGCCAATCCGAAACAGCGACATACGGTTGCTTTTTGGTATTAAATGTGGCGAGGACAAGTTAGATTTGGCACATAGTGGGAAAGCGCTCCTTCAGATTTCATCCAATGGCGATGTCCGAATGTCGATAGAATATCTTCAAAACTAATCAAGGACTTGCTACTGGTGGCAATGCACGGGAATACGGAGCGTGATGAAGAAGATGTTGCGAAGTTGGTATGTCTATACATTTGTGCGAAAATATTTTTCGTAGTGACATGTGAGTCAATCGGGTGGGCATTCGTGCGAGTAATCGATAAGTTGAACATATTGCGGTCGTACAATTGGACAGCAACGATCCGTAATACACTAATTGGGTCGTTGAACGAAATGCACAGCAGGCCGGAGAAAGTCACCGGCTATGTAGTTGCGTTACTGGTACGTTATTATGAGCTCCATAGGTTTACCATGTAAATTTATTTAGTTACCTGTGTTTTTAGAAACAAATATGGTATTGTACTAAACGTTATTAACTTGTCCGATGTTTGCAATTCCTTGTTTGTGAGCACACAACCATTGTTGAACCTGACAGACGAAATGTTTTGTCCGTGGAACATTAGAAAGCTCATAGGCAAATTGAAACATGTCGACCTGTCAGCAAAATGATCTATAGAGGTATTTTTTTGCAGTGTTTTAAATTTTTTTTCCCTCTTTTTTTTTTTTTACCGTGCAATGTTGAGTTGTTTGTTTGTTTGTTTTGTTTTTTTCTTTTGGTTAACACAGGTTAATATTACGAAACTAAGTGGGAATGTTGTTGAACGATATTTTGTGAATGTACTAGGTGATGCACCTTCTGTACATGTTGAAAATGTTGAGAATGTGTTGGAGGTTGAGCCGGTTAATAGTTGGGATGGGGGTGTTCGTACTGTGGACAGCGAGGCAGCAAACATGGTAGAGCCCAGTCTGCACTGCTAGCAATCAGATGTGTTAGAAGAGGGTGAGGACAGCAAATAAGAGAGATGACATTGCTACGAAGCAAACACGTCGTCCACAGAACATGGATGTGGAGGTTTCAGGTGCTGGAGAGGCATTGACGAATTTGTTCCCCGACCTTGTTAGACTTGGCTAGCACACAACCTGGTTGCAACGGTGATGCTGGCACACCAGATTTAAGCGAGCAATTAGAAAGAGCAACGAAGCGAATTAGCGATCTTGAGTGTGAAGTTCGGGAGAAAGATGCACGTGTGCGTGAGTTAGATAGTAAAATTACAACCACAGAGAGGATGCTTGGTGCAAAAACTAATAGCCTATTCATTGGGTTTGACAATGTGCTTGCAGCGAAAGATGTCGAGATTGAATGGCTGAATGCGCGAGTTAGGGAGCTGGAGGAAAGAATCATTGCATTAGAGGACGTAGTTGACGATCGTGAGGTACATGTAGTTACCCAGTCTGTTGGAAAGGACAACTACAACCATCAGACTCCCCCTGAAAAAGTGCCAACAAAAGGTAATGGAGTAGGGGATGTACCACCACTGGGCAGTGTGCACGATACCGAATTCGATGGGGGAAAGGCTATTCCACCTTTGCAACGGGGGGACAATTCTGTGGCTGAAATGGATTGGGTAACGAATCTAGTTGATTATTGGCCAAAATCAGTGGCCGGCCGACCAAACAGAGTGTCGACCGGCCAAACATTTGGCCGATGGACACAAAACACAGCCGGTGGCCTCAAGCCATGGCCGGTGGAGTATGGGGATGCCTCACAAGGCATTCCCTACCCTTCCAAGGCAAAAAAACAAGTGTTTGGTGCAAAACCAAACACCGAATAGTCGAGTCGAGAGATCCTGAGATCTGGCGCGTAGCCGAGACCTTTGGGATCTCAAGACAAACACAAACAGGACAAGGCATAGTATGGCAATATAATTCAAGCAATGTATGCAGATAAATAACACTTATTACTTGATAATTTGATGAGTTTATATACATTATAAAAATTTAAGTTATTCAAACTCAACTCAATTAGACTAATAAATAAGCCAAACTTAAATATATTTACTAAAAACTTACTAAATCATCCAATGAAATTTTAAGCAACTTATTAACCAGCTTAACTCAGGTGGTTCACTGAACACATCGACATAAGTGCTTCTTCAGTGTGCATTGATCAATGTATTTTAGGTGATAGGCATTCAAAAATTCATAAGCACCAATGCGAGGGATAAATTTTGTCTCAAGGATATAGCGTCAAATGATAGCCTTAATCATTCATCCATTTTCCTATTCTACAATATATTTTCTGCAAGTTATACAATTTCAATTTTTCTAGTTTCATTGTACCAAATAGATTGTTGATGATATAGCTATATATATCCAATGTTGCGTTTGAACTTAGAGTTCTTTATGTGTCCTTAATTTTAAATTTTACTTGACTCATTCAAAATCAGATTCGACCTCCTAACTTTATTTTGAGCTACACTCTTAGATATATCGAAAAAATCATTCTACAAAACAAACAAACAAAAATGATTTCAACAACCCCGCCTCAAATTGGAAATTTATGCAAACGATATTGAGTATGTAAAGCGCTATTATCAATTTAAGTCATATTGATTGATTCATATTTTTCAAGAACGTGACACTGATAATATAACCAAACCAAACTAAGCATTTTTTTTTATTTACTCTTTGAAATTGTTATAGTTTGCCTCACTTTTTCTTATAGTGGTTGCTCATTTACCATTTTTTCTTTTCTTACACCATAATATACAGCATGTTAATTATTTTTGTTACTCTTGAAATTGTTATAGATTGCCTCACTTTTTTCTCAATGTTTGCTCATTTAACATTTTTTTTTTTTTTTTTATATAAAAAAAAATGGTTTGTAGAGGATGCATAATTTTGGTTCACGAAAGTTCGTGGTGGCTGGGATAGGAGCAGTGGGGTGTTGTCCCTCACAGAGGAATCAGAACAAAACTAGTGAAGAATGCAATGAAGAAGCTAATTACTGGTCAGTTAAGTACAATGAAGGCCTTAAGTCAATGTTGCAAGGACTCAAATCGGAGCTCAATGACATGGACTACTCCTTTGTTGACACCTACACTATCTTTTCTAGCTTCATTCAGTCACCCTCCACCTATGGTACTTCCATTTCTTTTCTTCTAATTAGTTATCAAAATGGCAATGTTAGATCCTAAACCAAATCAGCGCTGATTTGTTCAAAAATTTTAAATCAAAATGAGCCAACTAAATTGAATTAAGCCAAGACGAATAAAAATTGAGATGAAATTGTGCCACTTTTAAAAACGGAACCAACCCAACTCATGAAAGATAAAATTGGTTCAATAATTGATCATGTCTGCGATTTAATCCAAATCATAACTTGAATATTCAGTAAAGCTCTCATGCCATTGGAAAATAAAAGAAGTGCGGTCCATTCATGGTTGCATTGATCCCAATATATATATATATATATATTCAAAAAGACCCATGAATCTTGCACTGTAAAATGGATTCTCCTTTCTCACAAATTGTTATCTTAAAATATTCAAAAATCTCATTATTTTCATATGATTCACTTTTTTGGGATGCAAATGATTTTTAAAAATTCAAAAATATCTTTTTCTTGGTATTTAATAGTGTTATCAAACTAGTTTCCAATTGTTAGTTTAAAAAAAAAATCTGAAAACTAAACCATTCACTTTTCTCTTCTCTCCACAAATCCAAAAGCCAATCGGTAACTTACTCTTTTTGGAATTCTTCTCCAATTATTGCAATTAACCACAATATTTTGTCAAATATTCAGGTTTTATTGAGGTTCAATCAGCTTGTTGTGGGTTGGGGAACCTGAGAGCCCAAGTTCCATGCGTGCCCGTTGCCAAGTACTGCTCCAACAGAAGTGATCATGTCTTCTGGGATCTCTACCATCCCACTGAAGCAGCAGCTCACCTCTTTGTCAACGCCGTTTTTGACGGTTCGCAACAGTTTGCAATGCCTATGAATGTGAACCAGCTAATCACTGCATAAACCGTGGTGTAAACAAGTGTTAGGGCTGTCCATGATGCCCTTAAACATAGAAAGGAATACAAAATGCATAGAACAGAGGGGATAAGAAGATGGGATTGTTAACCAATTACCTGAATCAATAATATGTGCATGCATTAGTACAAATCAACTGCTTTACGCTCTATTTGTTTCTTCGAAAATAAGTTTTTCTGAAAAACATTTTCCGCATTTTCTAGGTTTTGGTATGACAAAAAAGATTAAACTGCAAATTATTGAGAAATATCACCACCACCCTAAGTTCTATTTGCCTCCAACTGTTCAATTTTCACAAACTAATCAATCATGGAAATTATGGAGAAATATCATTGTAATACACATTCTTGCATTAGAATGAGAAAAGTTCAAAAATTGTTTGATTCAGATTTAACTATAGAAATCAGATACCGAAGGAGAAAAATGGCTTGTGTTGGCAGAAATTACCCATTTGTTTACCTTCGGTTTTAGTAGTACTTCAATATTGATACCAAAATAAGTTTACTTGTGTGAATGGTTCTGAAAAACTCAAGAAATTTACGGTAGCATTTCGTGATGCCATTGATGAGCAGGAGAAGAAAGAAGACAGATTTGATGCTCACATGAATCTAAGAAGGAAAGATATCTTGGAAAAAGAGGTTCAGATCGCCATTACAAGCATCAAATGATAACATTTTGTCGATTGCATCCTGCATTTGGTTTACACACGCGCACAATGATTCATGTGAAAGGTGACATGGAAATTTCTGAGTTTATTCTAACTACAAAACTAGTTTCAGAAGAAAAAAGAAAGTACCTTGTATTGTCGATCTTGAGCTGATATTTTATCATTGCACAGTCGGTCAACATGATTATTATTTCCAATAGCATTCAGTAAAGACGCTGCTCTCTTTATAACTTCCTCTGGGACACCTGTATGAACCATTTTATCAGAAATATCAGATTACCGGAGACATTGGAAAATAAAGCCTCTAGTAAAACCTCCGCAATTTGTCATGGAAATGAATGCATGAATTTAAACCTATGACAAATCATGGGAATTACAGAATGTTTAATGAGTGAATATTTACTAAAAGATTAAAAAATATGGGCGGAGTATGAAACCCTTGTTTTGCATTTGCCTAGCAATAATAAGGAAGCTTAAGAAAAACACATACACACGCACACAAAAATTATTGTGAAATGCCTAGCATATTTTTTGAAAACCAGCTATTGTTTGAAACGTACCAGCAAGTAGTGCACAATGCAGCCCTGCAAGGTATGAACTGAAGTATGTGAATTCCAATTTTCTTAATAATATCCATCAGAATTCCCAACAAACACAGACACTATTTACTCACCATAGCTAAGAAGTGCATGTCCAGGAACAAGCCTGCAAGACCAAATTAAAAAATCCGAGTGGGGTTTGATAAAAGGTAAATTTCTATTCGAAACTAAATCCGAAAGATGATGTGTAACAACAACTGCATAAATTTTTTGTTTTTTTTTTTGTTTTTTTGTTTGTTTTTTTTTTTTTTTTTTTTTTTTTTTTTTTGGTATTTTAAAATAAATAAATAAAGAAAGAAAATAAAAGAAAGAGAGTGGAGTACAAAAGGTGGACACTCTCAGTGGAAAGCATGAGGGTAGTGATTAGATCAAGGTGTAATAATAATACAAAATAAGACCAATTGAGTGGGCTTTTTAAGAATAATAAAAAAGAGACCACATGCGTTGTGTGAGTGGGTGGTCTGTGTCAATGGGGTGCTGGGTGTGTAAAACTGTGCAGGTTTTTGTTTGTTTATGTTTGTGGTGGGTATATCAAGTAGCCAGACCCAGCTAGAGAGAGCTGATCGGAACCGGTGATGGAGAGTTGGTCGGAGAAGAAGCCGGAGACAGAGATGAAAAGAGAGCACCAGAGGGTCCTTCAAGGCAACTGTCATACGCAGCTGTGTTCTGTCTGCTGGGTCTGTTTCAATTCTTATCAAACACAACATGGCCCTTGTACTCTCTGAAAAAAAATAGTGCTTGCAACCAAATTATTTGCATTTGGATCAAGCCCAGGACAGATCATCAACCGGAAATTGTAAAATAAATTTGCCATTTCGGCAAGAGACATTGGTCTTACACCTCTAACCACTTCTTGAAGTTTCAAAGGTGGTCCAGCAAGGGATCTCCACTGCGGGAAGAACTCTTCAGCAGACACTGTTACAGGCTGAAGAAATTTATTGAAGACAGCAGGAAGGCGAAGTTTGACATTGACATGAGTGCCAAACTTGTAGGAGAAGTCAAGAACAGCTACGTCCCTACTTGGTCGGAGGTTGATAAATTCATGGCCGACTTGTTCTTTTCTTGGGAAACAAGAATACTGCTCCCCTTGTTTCAGTTCAAGCTCTAATATTACCTCCTTCCCATCTGAAGATAGAACTCTCATTGGTACCTGAAGTTATTCCTCCACGGGCACAGTGTGGTGGTGTCCAAGCCGGTGTTTGGTTGACGACGGTGGCAGACGGGAAGAAGGACAGAAGTCCTGCGATGCTGGTTGAACCTGATAATACGGGAAGAAGGAGAGAAGGCCAGCTCTTGGATACGAGCTTGAATGTGAGGAGAGGCTTGGCTGGTAGCCGTAGGAGTTGGGCCAAATAGCTTGATGCCTTGTGCTCCTCCATGATGAACATCCGCCATGGAGAGAGAGAGAAAATGTTGAGAGAGAGCAGCGGAGTGAAGGTATGGGTAGAGGTCCGGCGGGCGGCCAAGGCGAGGCTGCCGCCCGCCGGTGAAGCAGAATTATTAGCTTCTCAACCTTGCTCTGATACCATGTTATAAATGATATAATATTATTGATTGATGTTTTGATGTGTTTATATTACAAGATTATTGTTTACAATTCCTATACAATCTATATATAGAAGAAAATGTGGTAGTGGGTGTAGTGGAGGTGATAGTGGGTTAGGTGAAGTGGAGTGTGTGGTGAAGTGGAGGTAGGTGAAGTGGAGTGTGTAGTGGAGTAGGTGAAGGTAAAGATGGGAAATTCTAACATTACAAATGGTGAGTGGCTCATTATATAGAGGGTGAGTGTAGTAAGTGAGGAGTAGGTGAGGAGTAGGTGGTGGTAGGTGATGGTAAATTGGTGGTAGGTGATGGTAAATTTTAACACTTGAGATTGAGGCTAAGGCTATAACTATGGGTAAGGATGATGACATGCCTAAATCTATCACTCCCAAGAAATTGAATGGTGCCAATTATTTGGCTTGGGCCCACGCCGTCAAAATTTTCTTACGTGGTAAGAAGAAGTCCCGCTTCATTAGCGAACTCCCTCATCCTACTGATGATACAGCTTATGATGATTGGTGTAGTGAGGATTCTTGTGTTATGGGTTGGATTTGGCATAGTCTGGAACCACATGTTGCTACTACTGTGGAATTTTGTGATACCTCTAAGACATTTGAGACTCCCTTGCTGAGTCTTTTTCAAATCAAAGTAATGTTTCTTGGGTCTATGAGTTATATGAACAGATTTTTTCTATACGTCAATTTGGCCGGTCTCTCCCTGATTATTATAGTAGTCTCAAGACTTTGTGGGATCAGTTACTGCGGCATTGACCTTTCACTAATGATGTGAACAAGCAGGATCAACATTGGGAGGAGTTTATGATGACTTCTTTACTTTCTGGCTTAGATCCTGAGTTGCGAGGGTTCAAGGATCATATTCTTGCTAGTGAAACTCTACCTTCTACTACCAATGCCTATTCGAGGCTGCTACGCTCTTCATTGGGACAAGCACAATCCACTTTTGGGTCCTCTACTTTATCATATTTTGCATTGGTTTCTAGTAGTGGTGATCATGGGTCTACTCACGGGGGTTTTCATGGTTCATCTGGTTCCTAAGGCTCTTATTCTGGTTCACGGGGCTCTCGTGGAGGTGGTTCTCGTAGTGGTGGCTCACATGGTGGTTTCTGTAGTGGAGGTAGTAGTGGACCTGGTTCTCATACACGTGGTGATCACGAGTGTACTCATTGTGGTTCCCAAGGTCATACTGAACCTTGGTGTTGGCAAAAGTATGGCAAACCTGACCATGTCCATCAAGTTATGGATGTCCCATCCTCACAGTCTTCCTTGTTGTCCACTAGCTCGGATGCTTCTCTGGTTAATTCTCATGAGACACTCACTACTCAAATTAGTGAGCTTACTGTTCTTGTCCAATCTCTCCAGCCTAGTCTATCTTCATCCTCTACTGCTACTATGGCTAGTTCAGGTACTATTGCATGTGTGGCTAAGTCCCCTCAGCCTTGGCTCCTACACTCTGGGGCTAGTTCCCATGTCTCTGGTAATTCCTCTCTTTTTGATACTCTTAGACCTGTTGATCATACCATTATACTTGTTGATGGATCTTCTCGACCTGTCTATGGTCAAGGTCCTCTTCATCCCACTCCATCCCTTTCCTTACCTTCTAGTCTTTATGTTCCTAAATTTTCATTTAATTTACTTTCTGTTAGCCAATTGACTCAAGCTCTCCATTATTCAATAACCTTTTCTCCTACTTCATGTGTTTTGCAGGACCTCCAAACCAAGAGGATGATTGGTTCAGGGCATGAAAAGGATGGCTTATACTTTTTGGACACTGAGACCTCTCTTCATCCTCCATCTACTATGTTGAGTGTTAGTGTATCTCCTCTTTAGTGGCATTTTCGCTTGGGTCATCACTCCTTGGCTAAGCTCAAGTTAGTTGTTCCGGGTATGAGTCACGTTTCTCAGATTGAATGTGAAGCCTGTCAATTTGGGAAGCATCACCGTAGTTCTTTTCCTAGTCGTAGTGTTAGTCGTGTGTCTGAGTCGTTTGCTCGTCCATACAGATATTTGGGGTCTTTCTAGAACTCCCACTGTTAATGAATTCTTTTATTTTGTTATTTTTGTGGATGATTACTCTCGGATGACTTGGTTATTTTTAATGAAATAAAGATCTGATTTGCCTTCCATCTTTTCTAAGTTTTATAATGAAATCTTCGTTTGCTCTTGTCCATACAGATATTTGGGGTCTTTCTAGAACTCCCACTGTTAATGGGTTCTTTTATTTTGTTATTTTTGTGGATGATTACTCTCGGATGACTTGGTTATTTTTAATGAAATAAAGATCTGATTTGCCTTCCATCTTTTCTAAGTTTATAATGAAATCTTTACTCAATTTGGCAAACGTATTAAGATATTTAGGTCTGATAATGCCTTAGAATATGTGCAATCTATTGTAACTACCTTTTGTGATACTCATGGTATTGTCCAGCAAACTAGTTGTTCTCATACTTCCCCTCAAAATGGTGTTGCAGAGTGGAAACACTGCCATTTGTTAGATGTTGTTCGCACACTGATGTTTAATATGCATGTCCCCAAACAGTTTTGGGGCAATGCAGTTCTCACCGCTTGTTTGCTTATCAATCGCATGCCCTCTAGTGTTGTACGCACATCTCCCTATTCTCTGTTATATCCCACAACATCTCATTTTCCCTTGCTTCCTCGCATTTTTGGTTGTGTGGCCTTTGTCCATGTTCTTGACCCTGGTTTGGATAAGTTATATCCTCGAGCACGCAACTGTGTGTTCTTAGGTTATTCTCGCACTTAGAAAGGGTATCGATGTTATCATCTTGAGTCACGTCGCTACTTTGCCAATACTAATGTTACCTTTTTTGAGTCTACTCCGTTTTTGCTTCCTCTAGGCAACAGTTATCTATTGATCTTCTCTCTTCACGTGAGAAGGAGCCAGCCTCTCTCACTCCTACTCTTCCCTCTTATGCTCCTTCCATATCCACTCCTATATCCTCTCCATCTTCTCTCGCTTTTACCCCTCCTTTGCAGGTTTATCAACGGTCTCAAGCTCGTCGCATTGTGTCTTATGGCCCGGCCAGTTCATCTCCTTCGTCTGAAGCCCCTGTTCCACCTGCTGATATGCCATCTGATGACCTTCCTATTGCACTCCGCCAAGCTAAACGAACTTACACTCAACATCCTATTGCTCATTTCGTTTCTTATGATCGCCTCTCTCCTGGTCTTCACTCTTTTGCTTGTAGCTTGTCCAGTATTTCCATTCCCCGCACCTATCAGCAAGCTATGTCCATCTCTGGTTGGAAGCATGCCATGGATGAGGAAATGCATGCTCTTCATCGGAATCAGACGTGGGAACTTACCCCTCTGCCGTTTGGAAAATCTATTGTGGGTTGTCGTTGGATTTATACTGTTAAGTATCTTCTTGATGGAACTGTTGAGCAACTTAAAGCTCGCCTGGTAGCTAAAGGCTACATCCAGACCTATGGTGTTGATTACTTGGAGACCTTCTCTCCTGTGGCTCGTCTTAACTCTATTCAGATTCTTCTATCTGTTGTAGTTAATCGGTCTTGGCCTTTATATCAAATTGATATCAAGACTGTCTTTCTTCATGGTGATCTCCAAGAGGAGGTCTATATGGATCAGCCCCCTAGCTATGTTGTTCCCGGCCAAGAGCATCTTGTTTGTCGATTGCGGAAGGCCTTGTATGGTCTTAAGCAATCCCCTCGTGCCTGGTTGGATCGTTTCAGTGTTGTTATGCTTGCCTATGGATTTCACTGTTCCACCTTTGATCACTCTGTTTTTGTTCGCCACTCGTGTACCAGGAGTATTGTTCTTATTCTCTATGTGGATGACATTATCATTTCAGGGAGTGACTCCAATGGTATTGCTGATTTGAAGCAGTATTTGGAACAACAATTTCACACCAAAGACTTGGGCCATCTTCGGTATTTTCTTGGGATTAAAGTTGCCCGCTCTTCTCAGGGCTTGTTTCTTTCTCAACGGAAGTATGTTCTTGATCTTCTTACTGAGACTGGCCTCTTAGGCACTCGCCCTAATGATACTCCCATAGATTCTAGTGTCAAGCTTGATAGTGACACTGGAGACTAATTTCCCGATATTGGTCGTTATTGTCGGTTGGTTAGGAAGTTAATATATCTCACTGTCACTCGTTCAGATATTACATATGCCGTGAATGTGGTCAGTCAGTTTATGCATGCTCCCCGCCAACCCTATTTTGTGGTTGTGTGTCATATCTTGAAATACTTGAAGCATGCTCTAGGACGGGGTTTGCTCTATTGCCCATCTTCCTCTTTGTCTGTCACTGGCTTCAGTGATGCTGATTGGGTTGGTAATAAGACTGACCGCCGTTCCACCTCGGGCTATTGTACTTTTGTTGGTGGTAATCTTGTTACTTGGCGTAGCAAGAAACAGACTGTTGTTGCTCGTTCTAGTGCCGAGGCTGAATATCGTGCCATGGCCCATACTGCTTCTGAGATGCTCTGGGTCAATGTTTTAAAACCCGGACCGGACAGGCCGGTCGAACCGGTTGGACCGCGAACCGGGCCTTGTTCCGGTCCGGTCCACCCCCTAAAACCGGAGTAGGATGAAAACCGGCTTAGAAATGAAAAACCGGTGGGCCCGACGGTTGAACCGGGAAAACCGGTGACCCGGTCCCGGTTTGGTGGGTTGGACCACCGATTTGTTTTCTTTCTTTTTTAATTTTCTTTCTTTCTTTTTTTTCTTTCTTTCTTATATATTTATATATATATATATATATATATTATATAATTTAAAAGCATGGTTTCTAACCATGCATTCTATTGAAAGCGCGATTCTGAAACACACTTTCACTTAAGATGAAAACGCTAATAGGAACAACATATATTTTAAAATTTTGACTAAAAATTCTTACTTCAAGAGTCTCCTCTCATAAGAAAGAGTCTCATTGGAAGTTGGAGAAGATTATGAAAGTCTATTCCTATTTATAGGAGAAAAAATTTCAAAAAGAACCTACAAAATTCTATGTGGGATTCAATCAAATTATTTGAAACATATTGATGGGAGGGAGAGTTGAAAATTTCATTTCCCTCCAAAATTAAACCTAACATTGAATCAATTTGTTTGGAGGGAATGCTTAAAAATTTTAATTTCTTTAAAACAAGTGACTTTCTTTTTATCAATTATGACTTTATTAAATATTATTAATAAATATTATACAACAATTTTTATTTTTATTTGAGTATTTATATATATTTTTATTTATTTATAATTTTTAATTATATAATATTAATTATGACGTCACGGTTCGACCGCTTTGACCCGACGGTTGAACCGGTGACCCGTCCACCCGGTCCCTTTTCCGGTTCGCTCACCAGTCCGGGTTTCAAAACATTGCTCTGGATTCAGTCTCTTCTCCAAGATTTTGGCTTTTCTGTTCCCACTCCTATGAGTATGTCTTCTGACAATCAGGCTGCTATCTTCATTGCCAATAATCCTGTGTTTCATGAACGCACCAAACATATCGAAATTGATTGCCATTTTATTCGTGATCTCTTACTCCGCAAGTAACTTGTGACTCCTTATGTTCGTTCTGCCGATCAATTAGGTGATATTCTAACCAAGCCTTTGGCTCGGCCTTCGTTTCATCGTTTATCCGTCAAGCTGGCCATGTTCAATCTCTATGCTCTAGCTTGAGGGGGAGTGTTAGAATACTTATTTTTGTTCTTTTGTTCTCTTGTTAATATTTACTTAAGTTGAGGGTACGATGGTCATAATGCTATGTTAGGGTTTGTATATACATTTGACTGATATAAAGTTGAGGCACAATGATTATTCAATATATATAAAATTTCTCTTTCTTCTTCTTCTTCTTCTTCTTCTTCTTCTTCTTCTTCTTCTTCTTCTTCTTCCTCCTCCTCCTAAATCCCAACCCTAAATTCCTTCATTTTACATTCTAACTTATAGGATTGCAAATTAGACACTTACATGAAGACTCAAACATATGACATATATCAACTAATAAATGTGGGTGAATCATTCAAAGGAGAGAAAGAAAAAGAAAGTGAAGGAGAGCCTGTTGGTTCCATCAAGAGAAATATAATAACTACTGACCTGCTTTATGTAGATACTTTTCCCTGAATAATTGGGGCCAGTGATGATATTAATCCTTCCTGAAGAGTTTAACAAGAATAACTAGTATATTCGAATGAGAAAAGACTTTATTGGAAAGTGGAGTAAGAAACCAATATACTTAGAGATGTTTAACTACATATACCATCATCTTGAATCTTAGTATCATTGGGAATGAAAGTATCTACAGTCATTTCCTGCAAAACATGTCTGAATTAACTACTTGTTAGGATTCCCTTGGTGGATGCCCAATTTTTTCTCTAATCTATTATAATATGACCTTGCAAATAAAATCATTGACATATTGTAGACTGTACTAGACAACCTAACCTTCCATTCTGTATATCAAGTAAGTCTTCTGTAGTCAAAGTTGGCCTCACATAATTGTTTTGACGAGCAACCAATGCCAGTGATAAAAAGCTGGGTGACAACATGAAAAAATACAGTGAGGAATTTTCCTTTTCCTTTTTTTTTTTTTTTTTTTTTTGAAAAGTGAAAAAATATAGTGTGGAAATATATGTCATAAAAAAAATTAAAAAAAAAGAAGACATGAAAACCTAACAACATATTGCAATGCAAATAAAATAGATGTTACTAAATTACCAGTCAAGTTCAGCTGCAAAATTCACAGCCTTGAGAAGATGTGCTGAGAATAGAAGAATTTGTGACACCAAGTCCCCCGTAATTGCCCTCTCCATGTCTTCAAAAAGGAATGGAAGATAAGACATTAATCTGTTTTTAATTTTTGTTAAAAATACTGTATTATTGATTGATATTCTTGATTTATAGATTACAAGATTGATGTATTCTGTATATTACAACTCCTATATATAGAGGTGAGGAAATATATGTCATAAAAAAATTAAAAAAAAAAAAGAAGACATGAAAACCTAACAACATATTGCAATGCAAATAAAATAGATGTTACTAAATTACCAGTCAAGTTCAGCTGCAAAATTCACAGCCTTGAGAAGATGTGCTGAGAATAGAAGAATTTGTGACACCAAGTCCCCCGTAATTGCCCTCTCCATGTCTTCAAAAAGGAATGGAAGATAAGACATTAATCTGTTTTTAATTTTTTTTAAAAAGCATCATCGAATCACTTACAAGTACACTGTTGGGGCTACATTAAGTTTATTTATCAATGATTTGGTATAAATCCACATTATTTTTATTTTAATCATAGGTTCCAAAGTTGACTTTTTCAAACTTGCAATGTGTTTTATAAGCATTTAAGCAATGAACACGTGTTTCCCTCAAGTGTCCAAAGCATTTCTGGTTCCACAAAATAATAATAATAAGACACGTTTGGACACATGTTGGGGGTGTCCAATGAGTGTCAATGTTCAATATGCTGTCAGATGCAAACATGGTTGTAATAACCCGACCCCCGTATGTGATTCTGATATATTTTTAGTCCCTTAGTCTGTGTTTTCAAATGCTTGATGTGAAACTTCATGAAAAATTAAGTTTAATCCCATGGATCTTATGATTTAAAACCCGTATCTGTTTAATAAGAAAAGTATCTGTTATGTTTGGAATGTTTGGATCAGAAATTGAGGACCTTAGAGGCTTAATAATCTGAAATAGATTTTATATTTGAAATCAGCATAATTTTTAGGTAATAACAAGTATTTCTGTGAAATTTCAATTTGGGATGATTAAACGATTGATTTTTGTCCTCATTCACTCTTATATATATATATGGTTATCTCTTATATGTTGGCTTATGAATTTGGAACTCAAAACTATCCTGAGAGAAGAAAGGTAGAGAGGAAGAAGAGTTCTTCAAGGGGAAAATTGGGGAAGTGAAAGGGTTATAGAGATTCTTAAGCCCAAGGTATGTAACCATGTAAAGGAATTTTATTCCATATCATTCTTCCTAACATGCTTGAGCTCAATTGTTGAATAAATGACTAAGTATGTACAAGTCTAGGTGTGTAAGGATGGAAGTTGAGTTGTATTAGTGAAGCTTTAGAATAATGGCAATATTATGGAATTGGGCTATGTTTGTGAACCTTAAGCATTAAAGATCTAATTTAGCTGGCTTGTTATGTGCTATAAATTCTGTTAACATGGTTTGTGAACCACCTTGAAGCCTATTAAACATTTACCAAAGAATGGGATTTTATATGAATTTTCGGACTGTTTTTGGGCAGAATCGCTGCACGTGCGGGAGTCATGGCCGCACGTGTGGGAGTCATGGCTACACATGCGGGAAAATGGTGCTTTTGGGCTTGAACACTGTCTAAAAAGCACGTGCAGGGCTCACAGCTGCACGTGCGGCCCAAGGTGAAAAAAATGGATTGCTCCATTTGACCTATTTAACCCTCTGGGATGGTTGAAATTAATATTTGCAATTTTTAAAGTGCTTCTTAATTTACTGAAAGTTAACGAATGAAATGTGAATTTAAGAGGAATTTGAACTAATTTGTGAGTTCTATGTGTGTAGGGCACACTCCGGGAGGAAGTAGCGTCCCGCCACAACACTGTGAGTAATAGTGCAATGGATATGCATTCATTACCGTTAATGCTTATCGCTATTAACGTTCTGTTTTCCGTAAGTCACTACATTACATATATATTGGTTGGGAATTGATGTGAATGTAAACTTGAAAGGAATTTGTGCACATCTGAATTATTTCTGGGCCGATGGCTGTTCTGTTATTTCTGGGCCGATGGCCGTTCTGTTATGTCTGGGCCTAAGGCCGTTCTAAAAGTAACATAGTATTGGATTAATCTTACAAACTCTGCAGTTACATATGCGTGGTTATGTATTATGATTTAAATTGTACATTGAACTATATAAATACTATTATTCACTGTGCTTCGCTCACTCCGCATCTTGTCTGTTTCTGTAGGTAATCAACCCGAGAGCCAGTCTTAACTCCTGAGGCTCGTTTATCTTTTGTCAACCCCAATGTGTCCAGGCACTTAGGTGGAGTCGTTCTTTCTTTTTTGTGAACTTTGTCAAGCTTTGGCTTGTGGGTAATCAACCCGGGAGCCAGTCTTAACTCCTGAGGCTCGTCTATCTTTTGTCAACCCCAATGTGTCCAGGCACTTAGGTGGAGCCGTTCTTTCTTTTTTGTGAACTTTTGTCAAGCTTTGGCTTGTATTCTAATTGCCTGTTTAAGATTGAGATGTCTCTAATGTTTTATTATACATCCAATCTTAGGGCTGGGTCTGTATATAACGAATGCTCCGATGCATGTTTCTGTATATTATTTTCATGTTATGAAGTTTGTGATCCTGGCATAATAGTGATAGCTCAATGGAGACTGTTATCTGTTATTTTTTTTTATTTTTTTATGTTTAATGCTTCCGTTCAGGCCCCGTATGTTATGTATATCAAGTTAACTGTCCGTTTCTGAATAGGTCATGCCCAAACTTTTAGGGGCAAGTTGGGGGCGTGACAATGGCACTTTTTTTTAAGTAATGTATGTACCTCTTGGCCAAGCAGTTTAGAAATTGTCATCTGGAATAAAAACACATAGCAGAAGAGTGAATTAGACTACAGACCTAGGATTTTGTGATATATATCTCCAAGAAGGTTGTCCAATTCTCGTGTCTTCGAGGTGCGATAGAAAAACTTTTTCATGTCTCCATCTTCATCTGAGAACTACATTTGGTGGCACATTTTCTAGTATGAATGAAAATATACAAATTAACTGCATAAACTATTAGTTCCAATTTAGGTCATTGATTGACTTACAGCAAATTCAAAATCTTGAAGATTTTCTAGTGTGGTTTCATCAAGTTTTTCTTCGAAAACACACATCAAGTAACCTACATTTAAACAAAAAAGTCATAGCATCAATCAATGTACTAGAGCTTAAAATCAATAACCGACATAGCAATCCCAATTGGCATACTTTATAAAAAGAAAATGAAAACGAAAAGAATCATAAAAAGTGTTCTTCAGATTAAGAATATTACAAGAAAGCCCTTGTTAAAGCGAGATTCTCATGATCTTTTAAAGGAAATGTGTAGAAATTTAATGTATAAAGAAAAATAGAGAATTGTATTATTGATTGATATATGTTATATTTACAATGAGTCCTATATATAGAAGATTTAAAGGAGGTAGGTATGTAGTAGGTGGAGTAGTAGGTGGAGTAGGTGAAGTGGGTGGAGTAGGTGTAGTGGTAGGTTTTGGTACATTTTAACAGCCCCCCGCAAACTTAAGGGGGATAGGAACTAACCAACTTGAGTTTGGAGAGAGTAACAAAACAAGAAAATAGACGAATACATAAAATAAAAGAGAATAGGAGACACTGTATGTTTTCAAAAAATTTAATCCAAAAAACTCAAACCAAACACAATAATTTTTAAAATTGGTATTGAAACAGAGACCAACCTATTTGATGTAAGAAACTTGTCTCCAGACATAATAGGAAGCCTAGCAAGTTCCAATGATGATACCTGTAAAGCACTTGTGTTATCAAAATATGTGAAGTCCTATCAAATTCATTTCTAAATTTGGTCTGAAAAGAAAATAAGAACAAGCACCTCTTCCAAAAATTCTGGCAATTCCTCATATATTTGTCTCAGCTCATCCAACTGCAATTCAACATGGTGGAATGATTTGTCAGAAGTGGGTTGGGGGGGTTGGGGGGAAGAGGAATAGTTGCAGACATTAAGAAAACTAGCAGTAAGAATACGAAGGACCTTGTATCATGACTCATGAATTTTATATAACAACAAACCCAATCATTTCACTACTAATCTTGTTATTTGAAGATTTTATAAAGAAGGCAGTGGATAGAGTAGGTGGCTAAGGCACAAGGTAAACAAATTAAAATTTTCTAATTCATAATTGCAATAAATAATCCTACCCCATTTTATGGGACTTAAGGCTAGGCTTGGTTTGGTTTGGTTTATAATTGTAATAAATAAGAGAATACAGTACTATAGAAAATGCCTAAAGGCTTTAATTTTATGAAATAAGATAAGATCACCAATAGGAAGGAGGTATTACCTCGTCACAGAACCCTTCTTTCACTATTGTCCCATAGCCCTTGTCTTTACTTCTACTTGCATCAATAACACCAATCACCTACACAACACAACACAACACAAACACGCACACAAGAAAATTACTCAAAACGTAATAAAGAAAGAAGCAAGTAGACAATTAAAGAAAAATGAATAAAGAAGAAACTAGTAAAAAACAAAGAGATTAATAAAATCAATGAATCAATGATTACAGAAATGCAATACTTCACATTGAAAGCCCTTTTCAACTGCACTTGCAAGGTCACCTGTAATTCTTGCATTGCAAAAAAAACAGCAACAATGGCTTCAACTAAATGATTCCCACTTGGGCAAGGGATGTGGAGTGGGGATGTTAGGTTTAACATCTTGGCAGAAAAAAGGAAAGGAAGGTTGGGAGGCTGAAACAAGTGACAGAGATGTAGAAAATAAATAAGAAAGGGTGACCCAGTGCACAAGGCCCCCGCTAAAGTGGGGCCTGGGGAGGGCAAGATGTAGATAACAAATATAAGGCTTTATGTATCATTTAGCTTCATCTAATATTCATCCCTTTTTGTTTGTCTTAGCCACTCCACTAGTTTACATCAGAACTAAAGAAAGTTAAGAAAAGATTTGAACCAAATCAACAACATAGTCATTGGTTACACTGGCAACCAAGCCTTATTTCGTCATTTTCAGACCTTGTTCTAGAATAATAAAAAAATATATATATTGTTCTCAATCTACAAGTTTCTCCAATACAATAATTTCCTCTCTTTTGCGCTTTTTTTTTTTCCCCCTTTTCTTTTAAACGAGCATACAGCTTTGAATAAGGCTCTCACAAATAATTAGGGATAAAATATCATAAGTTTAGTTTCAAGCAAGAGTTCTAATGTTACTAGTCTAAAAGTCCTTTAGACAGACACAAACAGAACTTTGAGCACACGTGAAGGTGTGCGGCCAGTAGAGCGGAGCGGGATACATTTTCAGGCATCTTATTGAAGTCATTGGCTAACCCCAGATTGAAGGACAGAACTTCCTGATCTTGGAACTTTGAGGAATCTTAGCAAAGTACATACAAAGTAGCCTAATGAAATATTAAGGTCTGTGGATAAACTAACCAATTCATGTACATAAGCCAAGTCTGTTGAAATGCATGATCCAGCCTGTGACAAATTTAAACACATGAACAAGAGATTGTGAGTATATGTCACACAAATTTAGAAAGAATTAGTTGAACTAATAGTTTTCATACCTTTTGAACAATGTCCAAATTCAAATATTTCATTTGCTCTCGAAGACTTCCAGAAATGCCGACTTCAAATATCTTGTTCACATGTAGGAGTGAACAGATGCTCTATAAGAGAAAGTGTAAAATGGATTATTGTAACAACTGTCCACGGAACAAATACCATGAAAGTGGAAATTTTACCTTCAGAAAAGCTGTCCAATCGCCAGTTGTACATGCAGAACTTGGGGAGTTGAATTTCTTCCAGAAGCAAAAGCAAAAGATTCATAAATTTTAGAATTTGATTAAATACAGATTCATAAAAGAAACATAATAGAAATTTTTTTTGTGCCCATCATTTTGAACCACATAATAATAAGAAGTGTTCAAAATAACTAGTGGCAATGTGCTACAACTACAAATTTCAGGCAAAATCTCCATTTCAAAAATGACTCTTTTCAGCAAAGCAAAAAAAGGGGTTGTGTGAGGTCATTAAACTGATTTAAAGGTTTGTACTTTTGCAAACCTTTAAATCAGATAGAAATAGTTAATATATTGAAAGTGTGAAAAATTGCTTAGTTTCCAGCCACTGATTCATGTCTGCAGTTACTAATTGAAAAATAAAGTTTAAATTCTTTATTTTGGAAATAATACAAATGTAGGATATAGATAGAAGAAAGAGCATAGATAAGATATTAGTGTACCTTGAGTATGTGGGGGATATCCTTGACCGACTTCAGGGTTTCCCGTAAAGAAGCCAACAGTTCTTCAGAACAAAGGAAGAATGATATCTTCATTCTGTTAAAGTATATGAATTTTTGGCAAGGTAGACTGAGGATACAGAATTCAAATGCAGGGGAATCCATTTCTTAGTTCATGTTTAGTTATGTAATCACCCTTTATGGAATAGTTAGAAATGTGGATTTCTAAATTTCATGCTCAGGGCTTGATTTCAGCCAAACCTCATCTTACAATGCTTTCAGGTTAACTGTCATGTTCTAGCATTTCAAACTAGTCATTTAGTCCTGATAACATTAAAGTAATCTTGAGGGGATGAAAGGATACAGCATTAAGACGACTATTAAGGTCATCAAGATCTAGTACAGGCCTCAGGAACCAGCTCCTAGTGCAAAGTAAACCATCATCCAGGGGTCTTGGGTTAAAATGGTTAGAAGTAGTAGAACAGTAAATTACTCAATTTGAATTTACCTCAAGAGACGTCTACCCATTGGCGTTACACACTGAAATAAGCACAACTAATTTATTCCAAATCCAAAAGATACTGCAGAGTTGAAAAGCAAATGGCTTTTGCATACCTTATTCATCATCCCAAACACAGAGAACCTGCAGTTCAAGAATATTAGCAAACATTTGTAATCAACAAAAACATCAAGAGTTGTTTCAGCCTTTACCCTTCTTTTGCTCTGCCAATGCCCATATGGCTTGGATGTTTGTCTATTTGAAATATTTGCAATGCCTCATGAGCAGCCGCATCAACTTTAAGAAACTTGTTTCTAGATTTTTTTTGTAAAGTCTTACATATATTAAAGGGCCTGAATTTATAGACTTATTTAACTTGGAGATTTTAGAATGAAAGACATGTAGGAAGATACAGAGAAATCTCCGTAACAGAGTCGATTGTAATTGATGCACTCCCACATTCTTTTTGTTCAATTGTATCTACGATCCTTTCATTCTCCAATATGGCCAGAAGCCCTCCACTCACACGAACTTGGACATCACTTCTGATGTCCATCATAGAACTCAGCTGCAGACAAAGCAAAAGATGCTTTAAATAGATATCAGGGAAAACAAATCTATACTGAATTAAAGGTTATCTTATCACGTCCAGAAATTTTGGGTCAATATCACCCCAAAAAAAATAAAGGAAGTGAAGAGAGAAACACGGATAAAGAACAAGAATCTTGTAAAAAATGCAATGTATAAAAAGAAATAGAGAAATGTATTATTGATTGATTGTATTAATATTACAAATGGTGAGTGGCTCATTATATAGGAGAGGGTGAGTGTAGTAGGTGAGGAGTAGGTGGTGGTAGGTGATGGTAAATTCTAACAGCCCCTCGCAAACTCAAGGAGGATAGAAATTAACCAACTTGAGTTTGAAGAGAGGAACAAAACAAGAAAATACATAAAAATAAAAAAGGATAGGAGACACTGTATGGTCGTGTCACATATAACATATCACTCTCTGAAGCATGATGCATGTAAAAGCACGTGATGATTTCTCCTGCAACTGTTCTCACTATGAGCATAGCTCTACCATACGCGTGGAGTTATTTAGTTTCCTAAAGGCATCGCAGACAGAAAGTATAACACCAAGCCTTTTTATCACACAATCATGATTTGAACATAACTACACAATTTTGAAAGTTCTATGAAATACATAGCATCATTACACAAAAGTTAGATGAGCAAGTTTTTAACGTACAAAACAAATTCTCTCCTTGATGCTTAACCCATCATCCATCCCTGTTACTCGAAGGTATATCAATCTGTCAATTTAAGAAAAAGCAGAATAATAAGAAAGGAAAGGGAATTTTTAGGGGTGGGGACACAGATAGGGGAGAAAGCATCTTACATAAATATCTAGGTGTGTATATACCAAAATTGATTTCATGTGTGACATTTTTAACCATCTCAATGCAGTGTCAACAATACCATGAATAGACATAAACTAATATGGTGCTTTGAAGCAGCATGACAAAAATACAGAACCAACCTAAACTCTTCCATTGAACAAAACACTCATGTTATATAGATCCATGAACCCACCACAATGGATTTAATCTATGTGCAGAAAGATGCTATGCCCATATCCACTAAAATTTTATGACAGACCTTCACCATCTATGATTTGAAGGGGCAATTGGTTCTTGGTCTATCAGAAATCTTGCCAGAACTAGCTAGTTTCATGATAGTAAGTAAAGAATCTTGTATAAATGGAAACTGTAGAAAAAATAGCTGATAGTTTAGGGAAAGTGACATGTTAGATCTCTCAGTCAAGCCTGCTAAGAATATTATGTGTTAGCAGGTATTTTAATATTATAATGTATTATAGGTTGGTTTTCTTTTCTTTTCTTTTCTTTCAAGTTAAGCCTTCCAAGTCGTTGTAACGCCCTCAAAATAAACCCATTATATATATGTCATTGACATGCACTATTTAAAGGAAACAATTCATTAATTCATTCATCAGAGTATTACTAAATAAAAGCATTACATGTAACATCGAATAAAATGCCCTACAGGCTTACATCTTTCCAAGCCAACACTTGGATACAAAAAGATGAGTTCTAACTCAATACAAGAAAAGCCCTAGGCTTGGATGTTTACATGTACTAATAAATAAAGACAATGAACTAAAGATAGTCTTCGAAATCCAAATCCCTTCCAAGCTAAGTCCTTGGAGGCAGCTTATCACCTGAACCTGAAAATGATGTTCCCATATAGGGTGAGCCACAGCCCAGTAGAAAAATACTAAACCACATATAAGCAATGAATAAAGCAATAGCATTCAACAGATGGTTAACCAAGATAATCAATTACTCCATTTTACAGTCTCATGACACTATTGTCTAACACACATTTTACTTTCAAACTTTATCAACATGGCTCAGAGCCTGGCCAAACTTACCACAATGAATTATGTATATCATATTCACATTCCTCCAATATCAACAAACAAATGAGACTCAAGCTCAAATCAAAACACTTCATACTTCCAGTTTGATACACATTTTAGTGCTGTATCAATAAAACACTTCAATATAGATAAGCACACATAAAAGTGATGCTAATGGAGTCCATCCCCTATCTCCTCCCAAACAAAATCCGGTTTAGAGGTCCATCCCCTATCTTCCCCTAAACCGTGGAGTACATCCCCTATCTCCTCACACACACAAAACAATGTATGCAAATGCAATGCTCAATCAATACAAGTATTTTCTGTATCAATGAAATAGTCAAAATTAATGACTTAACCAATATGATTAGTTTCAGTTATTCCTAATCCACATGCAATGATGAGTATCTAATGCTTAGGGGAGAGAGAACTAGATAGCATTACTGTAATCTCCACACCTGAACATTGTTTCTTTATTTGGTTTCGTTAGATGATTATTGGCATTTCAGGCATAGTTATTTGTATGAAATTGCATATCAATTCTGAATTTACATTTTTAGATTAATATCAAATAGAATACAAATTTTCATACATCCTCGTCTCATTATCAACTAGTACTATTTTAAACTTGTTCTTTTCCAACATTAATTTAGACACGTAAACATGCAACAATGGGAAAAGAAACTTACCGATGACCATGCACAATGCAAGCCATGTAGACCTGAATAAAAAACCAAACTATAAATTATGTCTAAAAGATGGTTGCAAGTTATATACGCAAAACATTTGTTATGTTACAGACTGTAAACTCGAAAAGATAACATAGAACTTAGACTTGACAATGATTATTACAGATTCTGCAATTCAAAATAAATAGACAAATAAAATAAATTAAAAGTTACATTAAGATGAGTGCTAGTGCACGCACAATAGCAGCTTGGGTTGGTTCTGGAAGCCAATTACATGTGGAGCTCCCAATTATGACTTAAACACAAGCTACATTACTTCAAATACAAACTAAATTTTTTTGAAGATATTGTAGGATTCGAAGCTATAAATGTACAATAATACTAGTGATGTCTTCTAGATTCTACTCAATGAGACAAACTGAAAATTTTTAAAAATTCATAAAAAGTCAAGACAAAAATAAGCTAAAAATAGTAAACTTTTTTGGCTTTTTTATTTTTTACATTTTAGATTCGTCTACACAAGGTGAACCGGAAAATTTAAAATAATAATAATAATAATATTTTTTTTTAAAAAAAAATTAAAAAAAAGTGCCTTATTTTAGTGTTCCCAAAGTGCAGCGCCTGTTTTTTTTTTTTCTTCTTTTTCTTGTGAGTCTCGGGGCCAAAATTGTGGTACCAATCGGACTTAGGCAAAGTTTGGAAAGACTAAATAAGTGCACTTTTTGACTTTTCTTGTATTATATGTAGAAAAAGTAGAAAGAAGATGTTGATTGATGTGACCCAAAAAAGATGAAATAAGTGCCCTTTTTTAGTTTAGCCAAACTTGACCTAAATATGCATATCAATTCTAAGAGCTTCGAGGTCAAGTAATCTAGTCCACAGATGCTGAGAAAGTTAGGAAACATAGAAACGTAGAAATTTTAAAAATTAAACAATTTGTTAATTAGGACCTGTAACGGCTAGCCTAAGTTAATTTTTTTTTTTCCCCTTCACTTATTCTTTCATTCATGTAATAATACCAGAGAGCTACAAGAACCAGAGGAATCGCCATTATCTTCCATTTATTTTCCTACATTTTCTCAGCAACCAAACAAACAATAAGCAAATCGCGTAAGCTAGATTCAAATAGTAATCCAGTGACTGAATGTGAGATTTTTTTTGTAAAACTGAAAAAACTGCTCCGAATTGAATTCTGAATTCGGATTTTATTGCACCGAGATGATCTAGGTATATAATGTGGATTATATTTTGAACTAGAGTAAAATCAGAGAGTGAAAAACATATATATACAATTGAAGGAAATATTCGGAAATCGACCTGAGGTACAGCTTCTGTTTCGTCGACTTCCTCCATATATTTGTGCTTCGACCTTGTAAGATATAGAGATTTGTATAAATGTGTGAATTCAGAGAGAGAGAGAAAGAGAGAGAGAGTTGTTAGGTTGGGAATTGGGAACGTGATCTTCGAGCATTCGATTCGATGTTTTATGGCAGCTCTCGAGAAACAAAAATGGCGGTAAGCAACAGTGTGATCTTGCAATTTCCCTGTTTATTTTTACAAAAATGCTAGACCCAAAAGTTTTATTAAAATTTTTTATCAAATGGGAAATGTAGGTGGGTCTCAACATTTAATAAAAAATTTAATAAAATTTTTTAGAACTCTAACTCTTATTTTTAATCTTTTTTAACAAAAATCTTACACATACAACAATTATAAGTAAAATTGCAAACAAAATTTCTTCGAAATACGAATTGTCCTCTTATAGTTTAAAAAATTATAAATATCCTCCTTTGAACTTTTTTGTTCAGCAAAATTAATTAAAAAAATAAAATTTCTAACCGTTTTTTGTAAAATAATAAAATTACCTAAATTATAAATTTATGATATAATATCATTAAAAATTATTAATTAATTTAATGATTTATTAATAAAAGATGTCATTTGTTATGAAATTAAACTTTAAGAGGTAGATGTAATTTTTAGAAAGAGATATTTGTAATTTCACCAAAAATATAATTAAAAAATTAATTGAAACTTTATAATAAAAAATAAATAGGCTAAATTACAAATACCATTGAGGTTTGATTAAAATACGAATCGTCCTCTTTGGTTTTGAAAATTACATTCCACCCCTTGAGATTTCTAATTTCATAACAAATCGTTACTTTTATTAATAAATTATCGAGCAATTAACAATTTTTAATGATGTTAAAAATATATTTAAATTAATAATTGAAAAACCAGTCTAAGGTTCTTTTCACATTTTTAATAATAAAAAAAATCACAATATTATTTTTTGATGTTTAAGGTCCCTAAACCCCACATTCATCTATCACAGAGAAATTTGATATATCTCACGCTCTTTATCTCTCTCCCGCTGCTCTTCTCTCTCTTTCTCTCTCTTGTCGATCTCTACCAGATTTATCTTCATCTACCAGTTCAAAACCCTAGATCTTTCTCTCTCTCTCATTCCCTAGATCTATCTCTCTCTTCCTCTTCTCAAATCTTCGGCTTCTCACTTTTGCCGCCGTCTCCACCATCTCCTTAGATCGCCACCGCCATGATCGCCTTAGATCGCAATCATCGTCGCCATCTCCATCATTGTCTCTTCTTCTCTCTTCTTCAGCTGTTGGTTTATTCCTAATTATTGCTGTTGTTATCATTTGGGTCTCATCTGCAGAAGTAACCTAGGTCACACAGTTCTTTTTCTAATTGCTTTTGCTACCCTGGGTTTTAATTTTGCATTTTAGCATACAAATTTGTATATAAAAACATGTTTAAATATGTTTTGTGTATTTAGATTTAAATGGGAAATTTTATATTCGTGTAAATTAATGACTTATTTGTATTTGATGAATTGTGAATTGTTCAGAAGCAAAAATCTGAATTTTTCTAGACTATAAATCTATGAAATTGAGAAATTCTGGACTTTCCAAACCCATAGAAAATTAAAAATTTTCTGAGTTCAAATTTTTGCAACCTACAACTCGAAAACTAGTACCAATTGTGAAGGTAAATCCCAACACTATGACAATCAAATTCACAATCTTTTAAAAATGCCTCACAACTAATACTGATCCTACTTCAACAACAGGATTCTAACTTCTATCACTCAACAAAATGCACTTGAAAATTTCTCTTTTGTCCCCTCTTGTCACAGGATTCTAACATCACAAAGAAAATTATTCAAGACAGAGAAAATTGTGTTTGACTCAACTAGAGAAAATTGATCAAACCGTAGAAAATTACAATTCTCTCTTATCTTTCAACTTTATTCCTCATATTTCTCAAATTCTCTAGTTTGCTTATAATTATTGTTTCCCTTTTGCTTATGAATAATAATGAAGCCTTGTGAGTGCACTTTGCAATAAATTACAGATTTATAGTCCAAAAAAATTTTCAACAATTCAAAATTATAGTCCAAAGGAATTCTTAATAATAATGAAGCCTTGTGAACTAGAATTTCTCTATGAAGTCCAGAGAAAATTCGATAAGAGAAATTCTCTATAAATCATAATTTCTTTGTGAAGTCTAGAGAAAATTCGTCCAAAGAAATTATCTGGATCGAATTTTTTCTGGATCGATGTTAAGAAACCTTAGACATTATGAAAATATTTAGCGTCCTTTATGTTATAAATTTTAATATAAGGGATCTTAAAAAAAATCCCCGTTAATGATTAGGTAATTTCATTATTGTATAGGAGAACAATTATGAATTTCATTTTTTTAGTTATCTTTGTTAAATAAAAAATTATAATAAGGGGGTATTTGTAATTTGTCAAACCATATGAAACAATTTGTATTTTAAGTAAACCTCAAGGAGTGTATTTGTAATTTACCCAAAAAAATAAATCTTGAATTTTTTAATATAAATCTTCATTTTAAATTTTTTAATCAAAATTATTTGTTTATTTTTATTAATTAAAATTGATAAAAAATATATATATTTTAATATAAATCTTGAATTTTTCAATATAAATCTTCATTTTAAATTTTTTAATCAAAATTATTTGTTTATTTTTATTAATTAAAATTGATAAAAAAAAATATTTTAATAATTAAACTTAATGTAAGTGTACAAAAAAAAGTCTAAAATATCTATTTCCACTGATTAAAATATACGGTGGTGTTTGGTTTGTATTTAGAATTATAATTTGAGTGTAAAGTTATATTTTGAGTTTGTAAGTATTGAAATTATGATTTGAAAAAATAAAATTTTTTGTTATGAGTTTTGAAAAGAGTTTTGAATTGAATTTTGAATTGAATGTTGAATTTTTGAAATGAGTGTTGAATTTGTAAAAAATTATTTGATTATGAGTTTTGAAAACTTATAACTCATAACCAAATACATAATTTAAAACTCTATTAAAAATTATATTCTAAACTCATAATTAAACTCTTTTTACAATTCAATTTAAAAAAATAATTGTTGAAAAAAATAAAATTTAAATTTAAATTCTTTTAAAAATTCTGAGAATATTTTTTTCCGAGAATATTTTGTTATTTAAAGTATTAAAAAAATATTATTATTTGTGAAGAAAAATATTCAGCTAGTGCTTTAAAATTACTTTTGATTGTATATTTGGTTAAAATTTTTTATTAGTTGTTTTGTTTAAATTTTTTTTTTTCAAAATTACGGTGAAAGTGAAAATTTAATTTTTATTTCAATTTTTTTTATTAATTCTAAATAAATGTCCAAATAATTTGTGATTTTGGTCTCAAAAAAATATTTTCTATATTTTAAAAATATAAAAAATAGATATATATATATATATATATATTTTTAGATAACAGGTGCCAATTGCTATAAATAAAAATAAAATAAAATAATCGTTGTAGTCAATCAGTCGGACGTCTGGGAAAATATACGGAGAGATGACCGGATAGACTAAAAATTCAAAAAATGTCTAGGATGATGTCTGGAAGGACAACCAGATAGACAAAAAATTCAAAAACTCTCTGTGTTACCAAACATGCTTTCAAAATGTGTTTTAAAATTGATTTGGAATTATGATTTGAAAACTGTAATCAAACTGAGAGTTGATTATTAGTGTGGAATTATGATTTGAGAATCAAACCAAACACAGCCTACATTTTTTTATATAATTTTACTTCACAAAATAGGTTGATGGTATTGAAAATAAATCAAAATATTATAATTTAAATTAACAAAATTAGATATTCAAGATTTATTTTGTTAAAAAAGTAAAACTCAAAGTTTTGTTTAGTAATTTTGCTAAAAATTTGTACTACAAAATTTTTCTTATGTGCTTTTGGAAAAATTCTTGGGTACTAGGAAGGTCTGGCATGTCACATGGTGCTTTCAATCAATCATAAAAACCATGGCCTCTCATATTGCCTTTTCATCATTCAACACATAAATGTAGCTCTCACTCTCTCAACCAATAAAAGAAGATAAAGGTATCGTATGACAATTACCCTATCTACACTAAAAAATTTCTCGTGTTTTTGATACAGACATGTAATTACTTACTTTTATATTTCTATTATTTTTAGACAAAATAATTATTTGTCCCTATCCTATTGAGTGAAGAATAATCATGAAAAATGGCCCACCTTCTTTTTTTAGGTAATAAAAAATGACCCACCTTCGCCCAATAATGAAATACGACACAGGTAGGTAGGTGGTGTTTAACAAAATTAAAAAATAAAATTTATTTAAGATGAAAATATTTGATAAAAAATTAGGTGTTTAACTACTCTTATGTACAAATTAAATTAATTTCTTTTATTATTTTATTATTTTAGATTCACACTCGCTTTCGCTTGTATATGTGGGGGACATTTCTCAATCTATTTTTATCTATGATTTGAAGTATGATGTTTTAATTCGGGACGCAATAATTTTATTTAGAAGTAAAGATGGTAGGACCTATGTTAGTAAATAGGGTGGACTCAAATCTATTTATATATTTGATAAACTTTAAATATAAGTATATATAGCAATTTTTTTTTAATAATATCTATCTATACTATATATTAAGTAAAAGGGAAGTCTTGTGGGAACTTCAATTTCTCAATCTGAATTTCTTGATTTTTTTATTTAAAAAAAAAATCTTGGCATTTATTAACTTCTCCAAACTCCCAATTCTTACCCTCATAATAACACTTTATTGCATTAAGAACAAGTACAAAAAAAATTCTTTGAAATCCAACACATATGAATTTCTTGAAAAGTCCCAACACATATGATTATTATCCATCATAATAACGCTTTAATGCATTAAGAACAAGTATAAAAAAAATTTATTGAAAAGTCCAACACATATGATTATTATCAAAATATTAAACTTTAAAATAATATCAAAAATGAAAAAAAGAAGACTTTTAAAATAAATAAATAAATAAATATTTAAAATTCGCATCTATCTATCTATACTATATATTAAGCAAAAGGGGGTTTTTAACCCTAAGGCCTGTAGGAGCTCCAATCTCATAATCCAAATTTTCTAATTTTTTGATTTTAAAAAAAAAACTCAGCATTTATTGACTTCTCCCAACCCATTAAATCAGATAATATTTTTTATTAAAGTTGTAGATATCTACCTATATTT